CTTCAATTAATTATAAGGGGCCTTTACCAATCACCGGCCGTGCGGCGCGCCTCCTCGGCCCGCTCCTCTGGAGCACGCCGGCGCGCGTTTGTCGAAAACTGTTTTGACTCCCGTGTCAATCGCGGCCCAACGACTGCGGGTCCCCTTCCCTCCCCCTTCCTTCCCTCGGCACACACATATCCATCCCAACTCTCCCCCCAACCCAGCCGGGCCTGCGCCTCCCGCCGCCCTCTGCAGCCCCGAGGGCAGGTCAGCCAATCACAATTTTAAATAAGTCCCTCAATATCTCGGCCGGGTACGCGACCTCCTCCGCATGCGATATGTTCCCTCCTTCCCTTCCCCCCTCCCACTTGCCGTTATGTACCCTGGCGCCACAGCAGCACGACGTCGTCCTCACGATGGGCTCCGTAAACTTATTTCACCTTGTGCCTCTTGTTTGTGCTCCAAACAGAATACTAAAAACATGGCAGCATCAATAGTGTACGCTGCTGCCCTTGCTCCCCCGGACGGTGAGGGGGTGGAAGGGGGGAGGGGGGCGCCTAGAACAAACCCCCTGAGCGCTAAAGGGAGGGGGCACCGGACGGCGGCGGGGCGGCGGGGCGGGGTCACCCTGCCGTTTGTCTGCCTTTCAGTCTGAATTATGACGCGCAATTTCTCATACTCTCGAAGCCTTGATTGCTCCGTACAGCTGCCTGCCCGGACCTTCGATTCGCGCCACCCCTGCCCCGCACCACACCCCTGCCCCGCCGCACCCCTCTGCCCCGCCCCGCCGAACCCCATCAAGCCACGCCACGCCCCTCGCAGCTCACTTCGCATCACTTACACGCTCACTCCCCGACCCGTATATTTATTTACTTCTCATCAGCCATCGCATTCAGCCCTCCGTTCGAACCTCCCGTTCGACGTCCTGCGCGCACTCCACCCGCCACACATTTATTACTTTCGCGGCGCGGTCGACCTTTGGATGGTGGTGAGAGCATCGGAGCCGGAGCGGATAGGGTTAGGGTTAGGGGTGGGGAGCTGTGGGGCGGGCTTGGTGTAGAAATCAGGAAAGTTGCATGTTCGCTCTGTGTGCTGCAAGGTGGTTTCTCTCCCGCGCCCTTTGCTTCCTTCTACCCCCC